TTGTTCTGCTGCTCGTACTAAGTGCTATGCCTACACCTGCAATTTCACGAGAACTAGCCATCATGTCGCCAGATACACGGAGGGTGTACTCCGTCAGCTCTCCGTTTTGGAGAGGTGAGGTCAAATGAATGACCACACTATGGTCCTGTATGTGTGTTTCGGAGACACAGCATACATCAATGGTACGAGATTCTAGGGTTTTAGCCAAGGAGGTCTGCTGGCCGATTTGACATAAGGTGCGTACGTTGAAGGCTCTAATGTGTAGTTTGGAGCGAGGTTTTAGTATATTTGGGACAGTGTTTTGCGCACTAGAATCGTTGGCTATGGCAATGCTTGAGGAGGAAGCCGAAAGAGTAAGTTCACTGTTGAAAGTCGAGGTAGGAGGATTAATAGGAATTGAAGAAGGAGATTGATTAGGAATACAGTGATATTGAGTGCCGTTAGAGGTATGAGGGCAGTTACCACTTCCCGGTTGCCCACACCGTGAAAGGGTTTTTCTACAGGTACCTAAAAAGGAAATTGGGTTAGAAGCGGTCTTAGTGACCTGAGAGCGTGACCGCAGTGCCCAAGGGACAACTGCTTGAGGTTGGTCACACACGAAATTTTTGTGTTAGCTCCATACTTGTTGGGACCTTACCGCCGGAGACGGATATCCGTGGGATAAGGCAAGGTGTGCATTTTTAGGGTCGAACTTTTCTAACTCCAGCCCTCCTTGTGTGAAGGCAGCATCGCTGTTATTCTGGTTATCTGAAGGAAACCCCTTACTGCCATCACACCTCTGTAGAGTCAGCAGTATGACTTTGCTTTCGGACCTTGAGGAACGATTGTTCTAGCCAGTATAGCTCGATGAGTTCATCACGATAGCCAAGCTCGACCACCACATAAAGGTAGCAATAACCGTCGGAGATGTCACTCAGTATGTAGGGGTTATAGGTAAATAAACAAACCTGTATTTTCAATAGTTGAGATCATGAGTCAATTGAAGCTAGACCACCATAGAAAACTTGAAAGCACTGAACGGCCGTTTCGTCCTATTGTGGGACTCCTCGATAGTGCGCATCCACGATCCTGCCTCGCGAGATTCGAACCAAGGACCTATTGGTCACGCGCGCGAGAGCTTAACCTCTAGATCACTGAGCCGGCATCCAACGGTGTTAATGTCTAACTTCAACCGATTCACGAAATTTGTTTACGAAACTGCCACGGTTTAAAAATGGACTGATTGGATAGCAATATATGACTACGAATAACAATAAACATCATAAAATGCCAATATTTCTAAATTACAAATCGGAACTTCGATTAGTCGTCTAACTTACACATTACATAAGTAAACTTATTTAAGATTTTAACCAAATAAAATACACAGGTCTGTTACAGTCTTTGTTATTAACACAATAATAAACACCTATTATGTTGTTTATATAAATACCTATGCCACAGAACTGTTAACAAAGATGAACTACGAGAATATTGATTACAAGTAAACAATAAAGAAAAACAGCAGAAATTATTCGTTCTCATAAAAAATAAAAATAAATAAAGAAATGCAGCACTTTTTGTGTAGATGAGTATGTTTCTGGTTGGCATTAAGGTCTAATTATTGGATAAAACACAAGAGAAAAAGTAAATATTTAGTTTCTAGACAGAAACATCTCTAGGTTATAGTCTGGCCATTGCGTTATGACAAAAAGCACGAATATCAGGAACGGTAATTAGCATCGGTATTAATTGAAGACTGCTCATTAGGTAGAGCAGTTAAACAGATGAACGGAAAGTGCAATTAAAGTAGTAAGAATCCAGATTATTACTTTTATTCTTGGTAAATATCACAAGAACTACAAACTCATTTAGTTGTATAAATCAGTCAACTCAAATTTTTCATTAAAAGATAAATCCGAAAATGGGACGAGATATAGTTTGATTTCGATAACTTAGTATACTTACCGAAAAGCGATCTCAAATACATTAATTTGGTAAATCAGGCTGTTTGGACAAAGTAAGACTGTGAGAAAGAATTCTGTGAGAGTTACTGATGAGATCGGCTATATTAAGAATGATATAATTAGCTTTAAGTAAATGTCAGAGGCGAAAAACATGAGATAGCATGTAGTATTAGTTTATATGTTAAGCCCATATACTTTATTCTAGCTACTGGCCAAGCCAATTCACCTTTATATTGTGAGTCATATTTCGATCCTGTTCATTATTCGCTTATTAACCTTGACTACCTTTTTATATGAGCGCATGTGTGTGTACCCTTCGTATCCTATTCATCATATGTCTGCCATTCATTTTTGTCTGATTATAAATATTGTGTAATGCTTGCTCATAGCGAGTTGGCTTCCCAGCCATCTCCAATACTCATTATTTTTGCTTCACTCTCGAGTTGGCTACCCAGCCATCTCCACTAAACTGTAGTTGCTGCTATCCTTTATCTTCTGATTTTACGCGCCGTTAAGATTAGAATTATATCGGTTATCGAAACGAACGATTAACGAATCGCGGCACTACAAGCAAAGCAAGATAAAATTTAAATGGGAAAGCATTTGGGTGTCATAATTTACTTGGCCATGAGGATGTGTGTTAGACGAACCAACAGCTGCACCTCGATTCTCAAAAATTTGCAACCACTGAAAGTTCTTCATTTTGAAATATTTCTCAGTAATACGGCACCATTCATTAATAACTGGTAGTATTTCACGCTGTTCCATCAGCGCTAAGGTTTTTTTAGAATCTGGATGAAAACAAGTAACTAGACAGTCACCTTGTGCAGGCGCACATGCAAATAATGGATTTTCTTCAACAGACCTGAAGCTCGTTAAACTAACACTTTCACAATCACCATTTACATTAACCTAAACAAGATTAATTTACAATAAACAGAGAATAACAGTAGTAAGATTGGTTAAATAAATGATTCAATTTAATGCAAATGAGTTATGTAGTGGGTTGGAAGCTATGCTGATTGTTTAAGGCCTCGAGCCACTATCAGGTATTAAGTGAGCGAAGAGATGTTTAAACCTGTAATTCAATGACTGCTAATCAATTGCATAGAACAATGTACCAATTTCGCAGCACATAGAAGTAGTATAGCATCACTTATCAGTCAAGTTATTGTCTGATGACGTGTGATTAATAAGTCTAACTACTAAATATTAACAGATTATAGAATGAGTGATCTATAAACTGATTTCATTGAGTCAACTATGATAACCTATCATACGTCTCTTGTTTCAATATCATGTAAATAAGCACGTCGTTTGATTACACACAAAAACTTTTCTCTTGGATTGTGGTCTTGTTTTTGATCTCATATTATTTTGAGGCCTGAGTTAATAAAACATTTTCGTAAGCAGCCATCACACAATGAGATCGTATCATTGCACATCATCAATCAATTAACATTCTTCAATCATATAATCATTTCACTTAAAAACATCGGTCCCACGATGAGACTTTGGTGGATAATTATTTAATTACTGTACGCCAACAAAATGTATGAAAGCAATAAAATAGTGCATTCTGGAAACTCCAAGAATGGACCTAGTTTTATAATTAGTTCTTCAAAAAGAAAGGACATGAACCACTTGTGTCTGCTTGAAAATATTCAGAATTGAAATATAATGTTTATTAGACTACTGAATTCCAAACAAGCTTTTTAAAATCCATTTGGCCAATCCTAACATTATGATAAAATTTAAAATTGATTGATAATAACCAAGTATTTACCCTGGTGGGGATGCCAAATATATTGTAAAAATGGCATAATCTTGCCTTTCGATCATAGAAATAGAACAGAAATAGAACACAAAAAGTACATTTCATCCATCTAAATTTAATTTGCAATTGTTTGAATTATCCTGATGTTGATGTTTCCATTGAAATTCCATCAGTCTAGGTCGGCATATGGGTACCCTTTACAAACTGTCACTATATAGCCATTATGACACAATTCTATATAAAATAAATGGAATGTAGCAAGCACTGGGTTTGAGTCCCGGAGTGGGTATCAATATTGGGATGCAGGTGAACTCAGCTGATGAGTTCGCAAGTCCTGGATTCCACTGCTAACCGAATTTCATCAATTTTATATAAACTTATATCATAATGGCTATATCGAGGCAATATGTACAGGATGCACGCATGACAACCAAGATGGATGAAATCTCAGTCAAAATATCAACTACATTCCATCCTGTTTGGTCGCTACCAAGGAAACCTATTTCGGTTCACATTTTTATTAGGACTTTAGTTCAAATCTAGAAAGTTATTCATAACACCTCCAATATGCATCATTTTACCTGCTTCCATGACAGTTTCTTGATGTTAGAATTGTTGTTGTCATCAACGTTACGTCAGTTCGGCTGTTCGGTTCGGTAGTTAGGCAATTACAACCGATGCATTATAGTACCATTTCCAAGTAGCTTTGACGAGCCCATTTATTGACGTCAACTTGGTTTCCTACCATTCTTAAGAGTAATCAGTGCTTCTTTATGGTAGGAAGCACTATTAGTCTGCCCTATACAAACACTTAATTGTTTGTAGGATCAGCATCAAGAAGGGCTTATTTTAGTATGAGAAAAACGATACTTAGTGATTAATTAAATATGCTCCCTCAGAATTTCTAAACTCTCTGGAATAAATGAGTCTGTCAATAACCGATAGAGATGAAGTGCTTACCAAAGCAGGAAAGTCATTGTGAAATGTGTAAACAGATTGATAATAAGGTGTGATCAAGCCATTTGCACGAACGGACCCGGGTGACAATGGATTTTTGGTGCATTTTACAGAAACGTCAGTTACTTCTGTGAGTTTACGATCATCGGATTCAATTTGTCCTTCCCAAGGACGTTGAATTCGATGTGGAGAAACAATAATCCACTCATCTAATAGTGGGTTATAACGTCTATGACCAGAAGTTAATAGATTAGTCATCTGAAATTGAGTGAACAATAGGTTAACAAAGGTTAGTTTACCACTCAAAACAAAAGAAATGCACAAAAATGAAGCAGTAAGATGCATACTTTTATTCTGATTTGTACACATGTTAAGTATCAGATGTTTTTCAATTTCATAGTGGCAACAAGTCAAATCCTTTGAGGGGCTCTTTACCTTCAAGTTCATGTAACCATTTAATATCTTCCTTTAATTGGTGATTTAACTTCTGGATTTCAGAATCATAAACTTTAATATCCTCCTCAATTGCTTTCCTCAATCCAACAGACGGAAACAGAAAGAACTGGTCAGATAAGCACGCCCACTGTTTATTTTCTGAGTCCAATTGCATTAGCTGTCGCACAGCTTCGCGTGATTTTTGCCGATTCCTGTCGTAAACTATGCATTCTTGTTTCTTGGCCAATACCATTTCACCAGCTTCTTCTATTTCTTCTAAATGCCTGATCACTTTATTCTGGATGGAAAGATCCATTTGCGTCATAACTGTCCTACAATAAAGTGAAATTAATCAATCAGTCAATCACAACGTAAACCCGGCACGTATGTACAACAACCAATAATTTTAAAGGACTAAAGCTTTCTACCTAATATTATAGAGACCAGCAGAACCATTAATTTAAAGCAGGAGACCATTCGCCGTAAGCTAATCCAATTGCACAGAAACTGATTTTCAACGAAGTTATCGCTTCACTACACCAACTGCATTTATAGGGTATGATTCCTATGTATTGCACTGATCAAGTCTATTGCCACCAGCACTTTTGATTTATGTGCTAATACAAAAAATGAAAGCAAATTAGATCTTTAAATATCTTACTGATAAAAAACAGTGAATACCAGAGCTTAGAAGATTTTGACAAGGCTTATACACATTTGATCAACTGATTTACGATTGACTTTGATGAAATTACATTCAAAACACAGAAAATACCTAGGCATTTGGTAGGAAGAAAAAACAAATAAATGACGGTACTGTCCACTGAAATGCTGTGGAGGGATTTTCAGTGTTTTCTCTCGTTACGCGTTCTGATAGAGAATTCTGTTTATTCACTAATTGGTGCGAGAAACGAAACCGCAGATGGAAACGATTTGATCACGAATTTCGAACTTTCGTGGAGTGTCCTCTCACATAATGAGTTCTTGATGGACGGAAAAAACAAAACACATTAATACCAATGTCATCGTTCAGTATACGGTAAGCCAGTATTACATCTGTGTATCAAGCATTAAATGTCTTTCTTAAAACCATATTATTCCATGGCTAAAGATTAGTTCCTTCCACATAATTTAAACTAGCCATCCGAATAAACTTTTACACTAGTTTGACAACTACACTGGTTAGCCTAACGAGCAGAGAGTTACTAACCAATACTCTTACTTACTTACTTACTTTCGCCTGTTACTCCCAATGGAGTATAGGCCGCCGACCAGCTTTCTCCAACCCACTCTGTCCTGGGCCTTCTTTTCTAGTTCTTTCCAGTTCTTGTTCATTCTTCTCATGTCTGTCTCTATTTCTCGGCGTAATGTGTTCTTTGGTCTTCCTCTTCTCCTTCGACCTTCAGGATTCCATGTGAGGGCTTGTCTTGTGACACAATTGGGTGATTTTCTCAAAGTGTGCCCAATCCACTTCCAGCGCTTCTTCCTGATTTCTTCCTCCGCTGGAATCTGGTTTGTTGTCTCCCACAGTAACTTGTTGCTGATAGTGTCTGGCCATCGGATCCGAAGTATCTTGCGTAGACAGCTGTTAATAAACACTTGTATCTTCTGGATAATGGCTTTCGTAGTTCTCCACGTCTCTGCCCCATACAGAAGAACTGTCTTGACATTTGTATTGAAAATTCTAACCTTGGTGTTGGTTGACAATTGTTTTGAGCTCCAGATGTTTTTCAGCTGTAGGTATGCTGCTCTTGCTTTGCCGATCCGCGCCCTCACATCTGCATCTGATCCACCGTGTTCATCAATGATGCTGCCCAGATATGTAAAGATTTCCACATCATCCAAAGCTTCTCCGTCAAGTGTAATTGGATTGGTGCATAATGTATTGTATCGGAGAGTCTTGCTTTTCCCTTTGTTTATATTGAGACCTACTGCTGCTGAGGCTGCTGCTACACTGGTCGTTTTCTCCTGCATTTGTTGTTGCGTTTGTGATAGAAGAGCCAGATCATCCGCGAAGTCTAAATCGTCAAGCTGCATCCTGCCTGTCCACTGTATCCCGTGCATTCCTCCAGATGTTGACGTCTTCATAATCCAGTCGATCACCAGGAGAAAGAGAAAGGGTGAGAGTAGGCAACCTTGCCTAACACCGGTCTTTACCTCGAACGAATCGGTGAGTTGTCCTCCGTGGACGATTTGGCAGTTTATTCCATCATAGGAGTTCCGTATGATGTTGACTATCTTCTCAGGCACGCCGTAGTGTCGAAGAAGCTTCCATAGTGTCGTCCTGTCCACGCTATCAAATGCCTTCTCGTAGTCGATGAAGTTGATGTACAGTGATGAATTCCATTCGATTGATTGTTCCACAATGATACGTAGAGTTGCGATTTGATCTGTGCACGATCTATCCTTACGAAATTCAGCTTGTTGATCTCGAAGTTGAGCGTCCACGGAATCCTTCATCCTGTTTAAAAATACTCTGTTGAAGACTTTTCCTGGTATTGAGAGGAGAGTGATGCCCCTGTAGTTGTCGCACTTGCTCAGATCGCCTTTCTTTGGTATCTTGATCAGAAGTCCTTCTTTCCAGTCTGTTGGTACTTGTTCTTCGTCCCAAATCTTACCGAAGAGGATGTGGAGTATCTTGGCAGTTGCTGTTACATTTGCTTTCAGTGCCTCTGCCGGGATGTTGTCTGGTCCCGCTGCTTTGCCACTCTTGATTTGTCTAATGGCCATGCTGATCTCTTCAATTGTTGGTGGGCCAATATCGATTGGGAGGTCTGTGGGTGCTGCTTCGACGTTGGGTGGGTTCAGTGGAGCTGGTCGATTCAAGAGTTCTTTGAAGTGTTCTACCCACCTGTTTCGTTGTTCTTCAATATCGTTGATTACTTTGCCTTCCTTGTTTTTCACTGGTCTTTCTGGTTGACGGTAATTTCCAGCAAGTTTCTTTGTTGTATCATACAGTTGTATCATGTTTCCCTCTCTTGCAGCCTTTTCAGCTGTCATCGCTAAATCTTCCACATATTTACGTTTGTCGGTCCTGATGCTCCTCTTCACTTGCTTGTTTGCCTCTGTGTATTCGGCTTGTGCCTTGGCTTTTTCTGCTCTTGTTCGGCTGATATTGATTGCTACCTTCTTGTTCCTCCTTGCTTCAATTTTATCCAGTGTACCAACAGGGATCCATTCCTTGTGATGGTGCTTCTTTTGGCCCAGAACCTCCTGACATGTTGAAACGATTGCCTCCTTGATACCTTTCCAGTTGCTCTCTATGGTGGTTCCTTCTCCATTGAGTAGGTCATGAAAGGCCTCGAACCTGTTGCTGAGGGCTATGTTAAATTCGTTGAGTTTGTCAGCATCTCGAAGAAAGGCCGTGTTAAACTTTTGTGATGTTGTCCGCGCCATTGTCCAGTGCTTCTTGAGTTTTAGTTTCATCTTGGCGACCAGCAAATGGTGATCGGATGCTATATCAGCTCCTCTTCTGGTTCTCACATCCTCCATCGTCCTCCTGAACTTTTTGTTGATGCAGACATGGTCGATTTGATTTTATGTAGTGTGATCCGGTGAAATCCAAGTGGCTTTGTGTATGTTTTTGTGTGGGAATATGGTGCCACCTATGACCAGTTTATTGAAGGCACATAGGTTTGCAAATCTCTCACCGTTTTCGTTCCTTCCTCCCAGTCCATATTGTCCCATGACGTCTTCGTATCCAGTGTTGTCCTTTCCAACCTTGACATTGAAATCTCCCATTAGAATGGTCAGGTCCTTGCTTGGGCACTTCTCGAAGATTGACTGCAGCCTATCGTAGAATTGGTTTTTAGCGTCTTCATCGTAGTCGTTGGTCGGCGCATAGCATTGGATGATGTTCATTGTAATGCCCTCTCTCTTTGTTCTGAAGGAGGCTTTGATGATCCTCGGTCCATGAGATTCCCATCCTATAAGTGCATTTTGTGCTTTTCTAGACAGCATCAGTGCCACTCCTTGTGTATGTGGGGCATTTTCTTCTTCATGACCGGAGTATAACAGAAGTTCCCCTGAAGACAGTCGTTGTTGTCCAACCTGCGTCCAATGTGCTTCGCTGATTCCAAGCACCTCCAGGTTGTATTTTCTCATTTCCGCAGAAATTTGGAAGACTCTGCCGGTCTCCCACATTGTTCGGACATTCCATGTACCTATAAAAATTGTCGCTCTGGTTGTAAGAAGGTGCATCGGCCTCATGACTTCCGAATGAACTCGGCTTTCATCATGAGACGTCATTTTTCCTTCTACTCCCAGGGCAGAGTTTGAATGGTTTGAATGATTTTTTCTGGTTAGCGTTTTTTTAGCGAGTTGATTTTCTACGGGATGGGGTCGCTAACCCCATGCCCAACCCTCCTTTACCCGGGCTTGGGACCGGCAGTAGCCCCTGGAGGAGCTACAGGCGGAGTTAACCAATACTCTACTTCTCGCTTTATCAACCGGACTGATTATTACGTCTTTCTAGCATATTTTCAATGTAGACTGACGCAAAGATATATCAAACAGTACTGCCGAAGGTTCAATTTCGATAATCCGAGGGTGAATATTGTCAAAACCACTGGGCTTATCTGGTTTGAAATGTTGAAGTAATTGTGAGAAATATGCTTTCCTGTCAATCACAACATCTATCGACAAACTTCCATTTGTGATGTTTCATTGTCGTCGACGGAAAACACTACCAGAATATTCTGACTGTTTTCCAAACGAAGGTCTAGCCTTGCTTGCCAACGCAACCATCCCTAGTCCTGCAATAAGTGGATCCGTACCGTTTAGAGCCTGCAGAGATAAACACACTCCAATGCTTTTTACTACGTTCAGGAAGTCTCTTGAACCCTTTTGTCATCCACGGTGGACAGTTATTCGGTCTACGTGGTACTAAGTATGGTACGAACGGGGATGTAAGTAAACTAAGTGCACATTTAAGTATGGACCATTATTCTTCAATTGACGAGCTAGTATTTACTGACCACCCTTTTGTTGCAGCGCACTGCTGAATGGCCGATATTTTTGTTACCTACACGTTTGGGTGGGGTTTAACCTCATGGTATATTATGCTACAAGTCCTAAAAACGAATATCAGTTTCAGTTTGGAAGAGACAGGTTCGGTCGCCTATGTTAGTCCTGGTAATGATGGTCTCTTAGTTGGTCCAACTTTTTTTTGAAAGAACCGACAGATGGAGCTTCAATCACCTGTTGAGGTAATGAATTCCACTCGTTGGTGATTCGATGGGAAAGTAGATAGTCAGCTGAAAAGTAATTTGTTCTGGGCTTGTGAACATTTTTGAAGTGTCCTCGTAAATTTTCTGTTTTGGAAGACAAGAAGAATGAGGGCATATCAAGTGCAAATTTATTGCTAAGCAATTTGAAAACTGTAATCAAGTCGCCTCTGGCTCTTCGATATGACAATTGGAATAGGTTTAATTTAGCCAGTCAAGCATTATGCGTGAGCTTCGCTATCCAATAAATCAGCTTAATTGCTGTTCTTTGAACCTTTTCTAAAAGCTGTCTTTTTTAAGCAGAGTCTAGCCACTTGCATGCACTACTCAAGGTTAAGATGCACGAATACTGTATACAAAGCCAAAAACGTTTTAGCGTCAACGTGGCTTAAGGCCCTACGTATTGCCCGTAAAATTATAAAACCTTTGGCGGCTATTGCACGGCAATGTGCAATAGTCTTTAAGTTTTGGCTACCGATGACTCCTAAGTCATTGTGTGCCTGGACAACAGGTAGCTCAATGCTGTTCATCATGTATGTATCTGTACCTCGATGACCAATATGCATCACAATGCACTTGGAAGTGTTTATCGACAACTGTCAAGTTTGAGACCATTCAGATAATTTCACCAAATCATTTTGAAGCTCTAAGCTATCACCTTTACCTTTAATCCCTCTCCATATCTTGACATTGTCAGCATATAGCAAGACTGATGACGATAGGAGACGAGGAAGGTCATTTACATACAAGATGGATAACACTGGTCCCAAAACTGTTCCCTGAGGCACTCCGTTAAGCACAGTTTCCCAGCTAGACAACTTCGAGTTCACCCGTTCTCTTTGTTGACGCCCAACTAGAAAGTCTTTTATCCACATTAATAGATTGCCTCCCCCGACCGTTGCTGCTACCTTGACGTGGTGGTCGGGCTTGCCTATCGTGATGATCCAATCGAGCTATGCTGTCTGGAACAATCGTTCCTCAAGGTCCTACGATGCCAGACAGGTCGGTTGAAGAGCGGTGAGACTAAAAGCAGCAAACCCAAGGTCCGAAGGCGAAGTCGTACTACTGACTGTACAGAGGTGTCAAAGCAGTAAGGTGTTTCCTTCAGACAACCAGCATGACAGTGATGCTGCCTTCCCACAAGGAGGGGTGGGGTTAGAAAAGGTCGACCCTAAAAATGCACACCTCGCCTTATCCCACGGATTTCCGTCTCCGGCGGTAAGGACTTTTGAAGAACGGAGCTAACACGTCAAAAATCCCCCACAAAAAGGCCGTGCGTGACCGGCCTCAAGCAGTTGTCCCTTGGGCACTGCGGTCACGCTCCCAAGTCGTTAAGACCAACACTAATCCAACTTTGTTTCAGGTCCCTCAAGAAATACCCTTCCACGGTGTGAGCAGCCGGGAAGTGATACTAGCCCTCATACCCTTAACTGCACACGAGACCAAGTTGGTCGCTTTCAAATCCTTCCTACACCTCCTAATAACTCTCTTGTCTCAACGACTTACCCTTCCCACGTCCTCTTATCACCTCGCACCGCTAGGGCAAACGATTCGAGTACACAGAACGTTATTCCTGGTCTCCTGAAACCACGCTCTAAACTACATATAGGAACTTTTAATGTCCGAACATTGTGCCAAATAGGACAACAGGCTTCCTTAGCTAGGACTCTAGAATCTTACACCATCGATGTGTGCTGCGTCTCCGAAACGCGCATACAAGATCCGAGTAGTGTCATTCATTTGACCGCACCTAATCAAAATAAAGTTTCATCTCGATACACGCTTCGTGTATCTGGAAGCCCTGATGCTGCTTCCCGTGGCCTCTCTGGAGTAGGTATAGCATTAAGTCCTAGGGCAGAACTAGCTCTTTTAGACTGGATCTTTTAGACTGGATCTAACCTGAGTTTTAGTTCTTTTTCGGCTTCTAGTCCTTGTACAGTCTGCGAGCGGCAAGTCCTTACGGACAAGAACTCCTGAACCCTTTATTTTATGTTCATTCTGTAGTATTAGGTTCCGTTCATTGGGAGATATGAATACTACATTAAACAGCCTGTTTTGATTTTGTTTCAAGTTCATTTAGCTATCTAGTCTATATACATTTAGCAAAGCGACTCCAGAGATATCCTGAGGCATTAGCTGATTTAGTAGCTGTTTAATCAACCCATTGTCATGCTCAAAACGAGTTTTAGGCTCTGAGCTTTCACTTTATTAGATTCTATTAAAGATTACTGACCTGTCACTATGATCAGTCTTCGATTTCTCGGCTACTTTGGGGGGGGGGGGTTCTTTAATAGACTTATATCGTTTCATGTTCTAGACCTATACTCAATAACTTTTGTTGGAGTAACAACCACAGTCGCGTCAAACACACTGAGATTCCGGGTGGTTATCAACGACTTGGGCAGTTAGGTTGTTTTTTTCTGCTAGAAACAAACCTAGCCTTACGATTGGGTTTGTTAGATTGTTACTGCCGGATACTATTTAGAGGACAGGGGACAGAGGGAACTTTCTTTCTTGAGTTTTTATTTAGAACAGACCTCTTTGAAGTCGGTCTTTTCTTCTTTTGATTCATGTAAGTCAACTATTACTGAGCTTATTTAAGGTAAATTCACATCAATTTGTGTATCGACAGAGCGAGTACCGTCCGATGTGTCTCGACCTCTTTTGCTAATACACGTTTTAGCAGCATTTACTACTGAAATGATTTCAGTTAACAAGCTGTTTGCGTCTGAGCAGCACTGTTGACAAAACCACACGCAACTATTTACACTAAACCATTTGAAGGCCTCAGGCGTTAGATTCATACAACCTTCGTGACACCATCCTTTGCACTCGTCGCACTACATGTCGCTTTCAATGAGATATCGACAGCCTGTGCGTTGGCAATTGATTGTCCTGCATTGTCAAGCCAAGAAACAGGTTTTTAAGAAAAAAAACTAGATACAATAACACCCAGAGACAAAAACAACCGATGACCAAAAAAATTTGAAAACTAAATTGTTAGGACCAAAAGTGCTAACAAATACAAATAGAAACAAAGTACTCAAAAGTACTGACGATAAACTACTTTAGAAACAGAAACAATACTCTTGAAGAATAACTTAACTAAAATAAATCCAAATACAGTTTAAACAGTAGTCTCGATACGTAATAAACGATCAAAACAATAAAATTTACTCAGCGAGGGGAAATACCACTGTCCTTTTTATATAGAGCTATTTGCAAGCGGTGATAGAATATTTAGACAAGGAATATCCTAGGTCGTACCGGAAGTACGTGGTAATATACAACTTATCAATGATTCAGATTGGTCATTAGGAGGCCTGATTTTATTCATCATTAAAGAAATAAATTCTGTGTTGAGTGCTTGTTGTCAATAATCTGCTATCTCTCCACTTGCGTGCTGAGTGTACGTTGTCTACAATGCAACCAAATTACCCCTACCCTAGATATTAAAATTCAATTAAACGCCTTCTGAGGGTCATGAGAAACGTAGAATTTGACAGCTTCAACCGTCTAAACCGTTCACATATATCAACCGATATATCCAGGGAACTGAGAGCTTGACCACAAACACCAGGCATTTTCTTGCTCACATAAATAAGAAGCCAGTGAAACTTCCTGGCACTTTATTTACAGATATTACATTATTTTTAGAATTTAATACGATATTCAACTATATGGGTATAACAGCAGCTTTTCAATGAACCATCGCTCAAAAAACAAGTGCAATGTTTGCACTAAGGAAAAAAGAAAACATACTCAAAATAACTTATTTGACATTTTTAGGTTTCCGGACGTAACTAGACTACCTAATTATACTAAAGCTTGGGCGTTCGGGCAGCATATTCTCCCCTGACCTCAAGAAAATCATTTCGTTTGTGTGGTGGTACCTCCTTATACCAATGTTTATTTTTTTAAATAAATTATTAAAACAACTTAATTGTGCGAATACTACGAACTCCTATAAGCTAACACACGTTCAACAAACCATGTGCATCTTCTGTACGAAATGCCCGCCTTCATAAATGCCACTCAAGGTGGCGGAGGCAGATTTGACCTGCAGGGAGCTTTTAATTCATATTCTTTCACACTTGTAAATTATTTTTCATTGCGTGTTTATTTCATCAAAAGCGTACTCGACAAACTTTAAGTCAGAATGTTTAAATTTTCTTCAGATTCGTCCACTTACAATCAATTTTGACCTATTCTTCCACCAGTTAAAGCCTTTCGTATTTTTGTCAGCTTTTTCTTTTTAATCTGTGACAGTTTGTTTATTTTATCGCCAGATTTTTTATATGGATTGGAAAATTTGAAGCGATGTTCAGACAGTTTTTGACTGTGATTTTAAACATGGCGAAAGATCATGCAGTGTGATAAGTGTAACAAAGGTTTCATATGATACTGACGATACCACCGGTATTGTAGTTTGAAAACACTTTACAAGTAACACCTTCTATAATTGAATCGCGCCTACCCAGTTAAATCAAAAATCAGAAGTGAGGAGGTTGGAAGATATATTTGATGGGTCATCAATATATCGAGAATTGATTGATCTAATATGGCTAGTGATCGCAGGAGACGTTGAGCACGCCGTTTAGAAACGTGTTCTGGTGCGGATGCATGACCAAGCGCCTTCAGCTAAACGAGTCTATTAAAACTAATGTCGAACACTTACAGAGCTATTGATTTTGATCCATCCATAGTGGGATAGTGATGACCCTACGACGTGGTTAGCCAGAAATTTTTGCTCAAAGATTTTGTCGTCGGTAAACAATCTTCTGATAGCTTGCTATCATTAGCAACTTATCGTCGTCTTTCCTTACTATAAGGGGCTATGAAGTACAATATAGAAAAAAGGAAACAAAGTACAATGAAAATTTCCGTTCCTCGTAAACTTCATATTTCTTTTCTCGGAATACACTCGTACGTTCGTACGTAAAGACACAAAGCGAGCGACAAAAGAATAAATATACTTATACACTTACGGCTGCGTAAAAGCGACTAAAAAATTGCTTTTTTATTTTTACAAAAAACTCAAAATACGCTCATCAGTAAAATAAATTTGGTTTTTGATTTTTTTTATTAAATACATAAGTACAGGCGTATCAAAAATTTTTATTATATATATTACAAAGTAAAATCGCGATAAGGCAAAAGGTTAACTGGTGTTTTACGTGCAATAGTCGTCTAAATGTTCTGGAAACCTTACTCTTCTTCCAGAACGCGTTGTTCTAAGTTAATTTTAAGATACTGTTGAAGTATCAAGGTGCGATTTGGTTTTCGGATGAGATATTACAAGTGTAGGAGCCATGTCGTTTGAATTTACCGATGGAAAATCAACCCGTAAAGGATTTCCATCTAAATGCGCTACTTTGAGACGATCGATGCTCATGGTAACGTTAGTGCAATTCTTATCTACTATGTAGTACATAGTTTCACGCTGCAGAAGTTTGAAGGGTCCTTTATATGCTAGTTCGAGGGTTCGTCGGTGTGAGTCTCGATGTACAAAGACATGTGTGCTAAATCGTAAGTCCGGTTGAACGAAAGCATCGGTTGATTGAGGTCGGGTGGAAACAGGTTTAACTGAAGACGTTGCGTTCGTGAGCCTGCACGTGCAAGAGTCTAGATCCCTGTTCATTGAAAAAGACGAAGGATCCACGAATTCTCCCATAAACGAGTTGAGCTGTAGTGTATCCAATGTCAGTTTTCACTGCATTACGAATACCTAGTAAGACGAGTGGAAGAGCGTCTATCCATTGTGAAACGTTTACAGCTGATAGTGAAGCTTTTAGTTGTCGGTGAAAAAGTTCTATCAATCCGTTTGCGTGAGTATGGTAGGCGGTCGTTCGGGAGCGAGTGATTCCTAATAGTGTGGTCAGACAACGAAAAAGTCAAGATTCGTACTGGCGTCCGCAGCCTATAGCGATGGTCGAAGGACAACCAAAATTTGCTACCCATCGTTCGACGAAGGTGCGAGCCACTGATTCAGCAGAAATGTTCTTATTAGGTACTGCTTCAGGCCATCGAGTGAACCGGTGTACGCAGGTTAAAAGATAACAGTATCCATTTAAATCTGGTAACGGCCTTACCAAATCCAGATGAACATTGTCGAAACGAGCATCAGAAGTTTGACATGTTGAGGTCAAATGAATGACGATACTTGGATCCTGTATGCGCGTTTCGGCAACGCAGCATGCATCGATGGAGCGAGATTCCAGAGTCCTGGCTAATGAAGCCTGTTGTCCTATTTGACACAATATTCTGTCGTTGAAATTCCCTACATGTAGTTTAAAGCGTGGTTTCGGGAGACCGAGAATAACGTTCCGTGTACTCGAATCGTTTGCCGTAGCGGTGCGAGGTGATAAAAGGACGTGAGAAGTGTTAGTCGTGGAGATAAGAGAGTTATTGGGAGGTGTCGGAAGGATTTGAATGTGACCAACTTGTTCTCATATGCTGCTAGGGTTATGAGGGCTAATATCACTTCCCGGCCGCCCACACTGTAGAAGGGTATTTTTTGAGGGACCTGAAAAGGAAGTTGGATTAGTGTTGATCTTAACGACCGTGGAGCGTGACTGAAGAGCCCGAGGGACAACTGCTGGAGGTCGGTCACACAAGGCCTTTTGTGGGAAGTTTTTGACGTGTTAGCTTCGATCTTCAAAGGGCCTTACCGCCGGAGACGAAAATCAGTGAGGCAAAGTGAGGCGTGACATTTTTAGGGTAGACGTTTCCTAACCCCTTCCTTCTTTGTGAGAAGGCAGCATCATTGCAGATGTTGGTTGTCCTAGGGAAACACCTTACTGCTGTCACATCCGTCTACAGTTAGCAGTACGACATCGCCTTCAGACCTCGAGTTGCTGCTATTAGACTTACCGTTCTACAATCGACCTGCCTGGCATGGCAGAACCTACAGGAACACATGTCCCAGCCAATGTAGCTCGGTTGGGTCATCACGATAGGCAATCCCGATCACCGCGTCAAGTTAGCAGCTACGGTCGAGAGGACACTACACGGCGTCATTAGTGAGGAATAGCTTCGTCAATGTTGATGAGCACCAACAAATATGAGCTCAAGGCAAAACCTTTTAGTTGACTTAACATGTCTTGTTACAGCTATGAAATGACCGGTTAAATTTCATATTAACTATGTTGTTAAAAAAATTACATCTTGGTTGGGTAGATTGTGGACAATAGTTCAACGTAGCAAAAGTTATTGCAAAATTGTGTCTACCGAAAATAAGAGAATATTGGTAAGTCATTTCGTCCCGGCTTGTAACTATTCAACATTGTCCATCAACCATAATTTGTATCCGCTTTCTAACTGAAATACATTAAACGGGTGACTTGTATGCGCAATTGTACAAATTGACAACATATTTTGAAGCTAAGTGACTTCATCTCCCCCTTTACATTGATCGAATTTTAGACGTCATTTCGTGGATGAGAAAACAAAACTGTTGTACTTCACTGAGCATAAGACTTCCTAAAGTAGGAACTATCTGTCTCATGTACTGAGAATCTTTAAAGTGCAAATCGATTGATGAAGTAGTGAAACTTCATCAGTTGAGATGGCTGGGACACGTGTTACGCATGCCCAACCACCGACTGCCCCAACGTGCAATGTTTTATGGTGTAGGAGTAGGTTGGAAGAAAGCTAGGGGCGGCCAGAACAAAACGTGGCACAAATCCATGAAGTCATTGACAAGTGGACTGAGCCATGCTGGTACGCGTAGACTACCTGATTTGGATCTGTGAGATGGTAGCAATAGATAGTTAGAGACCTTGAATGACATGGCTCAAAATCGTTTGCAATGGCGAGAGCGCATCCACTCTCTGTGTTCTGCCAAATTATAATCTTCTGAATTCTTCATTTCTCTTTTCAAATTTATTTCACCGGATTATACTCCTTCAATAACATCTTCAAACCCTAATCTTTCCGATTATTGCTTATACTCTTACTACTTCTATCCCTATGGGATTTGAATTGACAACTGCATCTCTGTGCTAATGTGGTATGGCAACTCGAACTGATGTACGTACATACGAAGTTCTACGTTGTGACTGGATGACTGACAAAATGCAATCACTGTTTCGTGTATCAATGGAATACTTACATGGATAGCAAATAAGTAATGATTCCCTACCACAAGAATAGACTTATTGCTCTTAACGCCGAATCTGATAGAATTGATAACAAAAACCTACTCCCAGCATTAATCATAGACATATTTTTGTTATATCCGAATGATATGTAACAAAAACTTGCTTATTATTAACTCTCTACCCAACGTTTGGTTTATTTGAAACTATCAACTCCAACCTTGGTATTGATACCTATATACTCTCAATATTATTAGTACATTTATATCCTTTGTAGATTGATATCAAAAAACAGATTTTATAGATATTCACCTTCTATTCTGCTCGCTATGTTGATTCATTTATTACTCCAGTCTTTTAGATATGTACTTGTTTCCTGGATATTTTATAAAAGTTGTGAGCGAGAAGAATAGGACAGTGCAAAGTTATTGAGATCAATCGCCAGATCTAGAATATCTTTATTAAACTAAGTACGTTGTCTTTGATATGGTATTTGTTAACCTATGGAAACCATATTTACACTTAGTTTTAATACGGACGACCATTTTCCTGTCAGGCTTGAGTAATAATTAGTTTGAACAGTATGTATATACTTAGGTTTGGATCTCCAGGAGGCACGCAGTACCTTATTTATGTTTGATAACTCAAAGTCAGGTTTCAAGAAACAATCTAAAATTGTTTTTTGAGAGCAAAATGAGTTAGTAGGTAGCACTACAGAAGAAAAAATTATTTTATTTTAGAATGTAGCTTTGAAGTACGATGACAAAACGTTACTTGTCTTTTACGCAAATAAAACTGTATACATCTGTTTGTTACGACACGTAGACGAATACAGTCATAACTCTTAAATGACTTTAAAAATGGCACTACTTTGAATAAAGTTCAAGAATTTATACTGTGAAACAATCAGAGCCCATAAAACAAAGA